CAAGGGAAGGCACTGTTACTCGATCTCTTCGACCGACGTGTGGCCGATCAGTCTTTGGAGCGGTTCTATGCAACAAAGTGGGACCGCAAGTCCAAAATTGGCCTGTTTGTGACGAAGCTCTTTACGGTCATCGATGAGTACAACGCCACACTGCCCGAGACCGAACAGTTGTCCGACAAGACGAGAGGGCGTATGGTATTGGACCGCCTCGTAGCCAATGTCTCCGGGGGAGCGAAGACGGCCTTGAGGAACAAGAAACCCTCTACGGTAGCAGATATGTGCAGGATTGTAGAGGACCACACTCACGCCGAGGACACTCAAGAAAAGCCAAAACAACCTCCTCAAGCAGCGGTGGCCGCAGAAATGATCCTTCCGGATACTATGAGAGCATTTACTGAGACTATGCAGGCGGTCATCCAAGAGATCAAAGGGTTGAAGACGACCTTCCCGGGCGATGCCCAAGGAAAGGGGAAGGGGGTGAGAAGACCGCCGGTGAAGAAGTGTCCTATTTGTCAAGGTGGCCATTATGTCTTCCACTGTCCGGAGAAGAAATATGAGAAAGGGTGCTTTCTTTGTGGCCAGAACGAGCACAGGGTACGTAGTTGTCCGCAGTTGAAGAATAAGGTCTCGTCGGGAAACGAGGAGGGCGGCCGCTAAGCAGCCCGCGGTCGCCTCCAGAAGATACGGTTCTCTATCCTATCGGTGGAGATCGAGGACTATTTTTGCTCACCGATTTTATTTCCCCTCACGGTCAGTGGCGAGGTCTATTTCGTGCCTTGGTGGACACTGGCTGCTGTGCCACCTTGGTATCTCTGTCTCAGCTGCCTGAAGGTCTCACAGTGCAGCCTGTGGATGGGTGTCAGTTGCTGACCGTAGACAAGTCCGAATTTGCCATTGTCGGCACCGTTAATCTTGATTTCTTTGTGTATGAGTCTGCGGAGGCGGCGACAGCCTCTTATTTGGCCCGTCGCCAGGATTCTCCCAAGGGACTCCGATGTACCATGTCTGTGTACGTTTGCGATTCGTTGGCCTTTCCGATTATTTTGGGCCATGACTTTTTACGACATTTTGGGTTCAACGTGCTCTACGAGCAGAACCCTGTAGAGTTGAGGAGTAGTACGGCCCGAAACGCGGGACCGGCTGCTCCATATGCGTTCGACTTGGGCTCAGCCAATGCGCTGAGATGGGAGATGGATACTGTTCGAGTGGGAGATAGCTTTGCCGTGCCGTATGGCGGGACCCAGACGACATCCCGGCAGGGGAGGAGTCTGATGGGGAGGGCGGCTCGTGACCCGAAATGAGGATTCCGGTCAGGGC